GTGTGCTTTCTTAGAAGTCCGGCCCTCCACCTGTGGTGGAACTACAAATCCCATGAGGCATTGCAAGATTCTCACAGCCACAGACACGACTCCCGGAGAGAGATGCATCATGGGATTTGTAATTTCACCACAGCTGGAGGGCCGGAGTTTGGACACCCCTGCTCTAAGACCTGGGCGGAGAGATGTTTGCATCTCCCCAACTGCTCTTAGCAACCTCGGTGTCTAGGAAGCTGCGGCTTCCTATCCAATCAGGAGCTGGGCGAGTGGTCACATGACCTCCTGCCAGGCTACCTGCTTCATTGCTGCACCCCTGCTGGAAGAGGTAAGGGACTGATAGAGATGGGAATCCAGGATGTCTCAGGTCTGTGTATGTATGTAATAGTGTATATATATAGATTATATGACCACCAGACATTTGTAGGCAAGTTAGCTCCCCCACGTCCAGTCCGGCCGACTCTCTGCGCTGCTGGGCTCTGCTTTCCTCCATCTCCCTGTCAGTGTGCAGCGGAAACCCCAGCTTCTAGCCCCGGGGCAGTAATGGATTTGTAACCATTCCATTGAGGTGTGAGAAAGCCATTGATTTCAGTTATTTTTTCCAAGGGCTGTGCTATCAAATATTAATTGAGTGTGCCAATAATTTTGTCTAGTCCTTTTTTGGAGTTTTGCGTGGAATGTATCAGATTTGGCTTTTTTTTTGTTCTCCACTTTTTTGCATCATACCAATACAAACAAAAGAAAAACACGAGAATGCCTAAACATTTGTAATTGCAACAATTCTCTGAGCAAAGTGGTTCATTATCTGACAGAAATGCAGGGGTGCCAATATGTTTGGCCATGACTGATTTTTATTATTTATATTCTCTGAAAAATGGCCAGGAAATCATAAATTCTGACAGGGTATGTTCTCTGAAGTGACAAATCACCCTTCCCTGTCTGGCAATCTGATGGACGTGTCTGGGTTTGGCGGTTGCCAGGAGAACGGTACTTGCCTGACTACATTGTGCCAAGTGTAAAGTTTGGTGGAGAGGGTATTATGGTGTGGGGTTGTTTTTCATAGGTTGAGCTTGGCCCCTTAGTTCCAGTGAAGGGAACTCTTAAGGTATCAGCATACCAAGACATTTTGGACAATTTAATGCTCCTAACTTTGTGGGAACAGTTTGGGGGTGGCCCCTTCCTGTTCCAACATGACTGCGCACCAGTGCTCAAAGGAAGGTCCATAAAGACATGGATGAGCGAGTTTGGGGTGGAGGAACTTGACTGGCCTGCACAGAGTCCTGACCTTAACCCGATAGAACACCTTTGGGATGAATTGGAGCAGAGACTGCGAGCCCGGCCTTCTCCTCAAAACAACAGTACCTGACCTCACAAATGCGCTTCTGGAAGAATAGTCAAACATTCCCATAGACACACTGCCAAACCTTGTGGACAGCCTTCCCAGAAGAGTTGAAGCTGTTATAGCTTCAAAGGGTAGGCCAACTCAATATTAAAACCTACGGACTAAGACCGGGATGCAATTAAATTTCGTGTGTGTAAATAAGAAGTGGAACATGAGGGGTTCTGTTGAAACCAAACCACGGTCAGGTAGACCAACTAAACTGTAAGCCACAACTGCCAGGAAACTTGTTCGGGATACAAAGGAAAAACCCACAAATAACTTCAGGTGAAATACAGGACACTCTGAAAACATGTGGTGTGCTGTTGCAAGATGCACAATAAGAAAGATGCGCTTGAAGAAAGATGTGCTGCATGGTCGATTCGTCAGAAGAAAGCCATTACTACGCAAATGCCAAAGTATCCCGCTTACAATACACCAAACAGCACAGAGACAAGCCTCAAACCCCCTGGCACAAAGTCATTTGGAGTGAGGAGACAATAATGTAGCTTTTCGTCCACAACCATAAACGCTACATTTGGAGAGGAGTCAACAAGGCCTATGATGAAAAGTACACCATTCCTACTGTGAAACATGGAGGTGGATCGCTGATGTTTTGGGGATGTGTGAGCTACAAAGGCACAGGAAAGTTGGTCAGAATTGATGGTACGATGAATGCAGTATGTTATTAAATGATACTGGAGGACAATTTGCATGCATCAGCCCGGAAGCTGCGCATGGGACATACTTGGACATTCCAACATGACAATGATCCTAAACACAAGGCCAAGTCAACCTGTCATTGGCTACAGCAGAATAAAGTGAAGGTTCTGGAGTGGCCACAGGGGTGTGGACATTTTAAAAAAAACTACTTGTCCAAGGGCTAAAGCGGGGGGCAAATCTACTGGTCCTTCATAACAATCTAATTAAAACTAGGGATGCACCAATACCGGTTTTTGGGTATAGAGTACGAGTACCGATTTTTTGCTTTCGGTACTCACCGAGTATTGGTGCTTCCTTTTGCATGGAGCAGGCTTCCCGGGCAATCAGGAAGCCGGGCAGCGGGTAATGACCTGATTGGCCAGGAAGCCGGCTTGATGCTGATAGGCTGGTAAGCTGGCTTCCCAGCCAATCAGCAAGGAGCTGGCTTCTTGGCCAATCAGGAAACTGGGAGACGGGTTATTAGTCGCTGCCCCGCTTCCCGCACGGGAAGCTGGCTCCATGTTCCCCTACGGCACTGCCGGCCAGAGGAAACCTTCCTCTGACCAGAAGTTCTGGTATTGGAGAAGGTATCGAGCATTTGGGCGAGTACAAGTACTTGCCCAAATACTCTGTATCTGTGCATCCCTAATCAAAACCGTATTGGTCTGTGCTAAATAGCGCTTCTCATTGGTCAGCGTAGTCACCAGACCACGCTGACCAATGAGTGCTTGCAATTTGCGAGCGAAATTCAAAATGCATAGGGCAGGACTGCGCTGGACAGTACGGGGTGAGGACAGTACACCTGTACCGGCAGAGGGTAAGGACTGTTTGCCGAAAGGTAAGTATAGCCGGGGGCTGGGGGGTTTTGGGAGAGACGGGGGCCAGATTTGATCGGGTAATTCCATTTTCCCATATTACCTGGGAAAGTGAACTTGCCCTTTAATGTACATTGTGCGTGTGGGAGAGTTCTGCTGCCTCACTACCACAATATGGCACAGTGAAATGGCGGCAGCACTCAACGCACACACACAATGTCCTATGCGTGCGTTTATTTGCATGCAGCTGGCGGGGGCAGTGGGGTTCGTTTTCATTTTTTTTTTACATTGTCACTTTTTTTAAAATATATTATTTTTTTACTTTTTTATAACTTTTTTTTACTTTTTGTTCTTTTTTCACTCCCCCCCCTAATTTTATTCCTATCACATAGGGATTTAAAATCCTCTATGTGATAGTTTGGAGGTGACAGGTTCTCTTTATGGAACCTGCTCTCCAACACAGAACAGATGTTCTGTGTAGTTCCTGACAGCTGAGACAGGTGGCGCTGTGATCACAGCGCCACGGTCTCAGTGATAACACAGAGCACACGAAAAACAGACTTTTTTCGTCTGTTCTGCGGGCTATATGGTGAGCTCATGTTCCGTGGTCTCGGGTCCGCCAGGGGGGACTGACGGACAGAATCGCCGCTTCTCATTTCATACAAGTTATCAGATCACTTGAAAACGAGCGAACGAAACTGCATGTCCCGGGCGTCGGGCGATAGGAATTCCACACCCCTGGACCATCTCAGTCTCCTGACCTCAATATCATTGAGCCACTCTGGGGGGAGATCTCTTCTCATTAGATCACTCGTATTGAACGAGCAGTGTCTCCTGCTGCTGAACTTGATCGCTGCCGCCGCTGCTCGGCTTTAATACGAGTGATCTCATTAGATCACTCGTATTAAACGAGCAGTGGCTCCTACTACTCGCCCGGCGCCCAAAACTGCATGTTTTGGGCGCCAGTTTTCAGTCTTCCAGGTTGAATGACGCCCAGCTTCACTTAATGCAAAAGACTGAGGATGCCTGGTCAGCACCATGGCATCATTCATTCCCATCTTACTCTCTGCATTAGTAAGGACCACCTGGTCAGAAGGACAAAAGGTAAAGAGGACCCTGCAGTGTCACCTGACTGGCCTGAAGACTCAGGAGAAATTAGGTATTAAAAAAAATGGAAAAAAACAAAGCATAAAATAAAGTCAGTGGCAGCCATAAGGGAGGAATGAGGAGCATGCCCTGGGAGTTGGGCTATAAAGATGCAAATACATTGCCCACCTAAAACATAACTTCACCTCATACTAGGAACAAGGCAGCAATTCAATTAAATTTTCTGAAAGTAGCAATTTAAAAACAGGACACTGACAACAGACTTTGACAGGTAGAGAAAATGTTTAATTCATTTTGACACATTCTTGAACCAAAAGAAAAAAGGAAGCACATTTTTAAGTGTGTTTAACTGCTTGTAGTACCGTTAGTAGCACACAATGGGAATTTAACATAAAGACACTTTCTTGGCATAAATAGAATGCAGAGATTAGGCACAACTGCATAACATAGTCAAAACTCTGCCATCAGGGTAATATGCTCAGTTATATGTACAAGTGGACAAGTGTACGCATGCGTTAAGCTTCACGCATCTTCTTTGAGTTGTTCTAGAACCTCAGAAACGCAGCTGTGAGGATTGCAATCTCTTAAAACATCCTGAAAGTCACCGAATAGTGAAAAGACTAGAGTCAAAGTGTTGACAAGATTCCATAAAACGTTCTGATACTTTACACAAACACGTGACAACATACCAAGGCTTGCAAACTGTCCATGAGTTTAAGGTCAACAGAAACAAAGGAAACGTAGTAGTAAAATAGCACAAACGTATGGTCACTTATCCCACGAAGCGTGTAACAGGGTAACATACATGATTTTACACATGTAAAAGAAAAAGCAATAAAGTATTATACTGTAAAACAAAATCAATATATAAAAAAAATTACAGAACATGTGTGGCATTTTATAGACATCCCTAGTTACACAACCATCTGCCTACGCATGACCGTACATGGATTTTGCAAGTCATGGCTGTTTTGCTATTTACAATATAAAACACAGAAAACTGATTTTTACAAATAGCAGGCAAATGCTGTAAACTTGGTAATCGGTGGACATGAGCCGATGTAAAGGCAGTGGTAGAATCAGCATTTGGCAGCAGTCTTATGGTTTGTCTTCTGGTGTTATTCTAAGGGTTAGCAGCATAGTGATTTACTTTCGGCAGTTAAGGGCTCCCTGTCAAGCTGTACACAGCTGACATCATTCTCTTCTATGGGGAAGTTCTTGGAATTTTGAAGAATGTTTTCAACCAAGCATCGAGCAGCGTCATCAATGTTAACGTTGTCCTGCAATAAAGAGGATTAAGAGTTAAACAAAAAAACACAAGTGGTCAAGAACAGTTAACGCACATTAGAGGTCAGATTATTGGCGTTAAAAGAGGGGCTTCGATTTTGATTGAGTAGGAAAGGGTTCAAACCCGCTGTCAGTTGTTTTTTTTTTTTTTACCATCTGTTTCATTGAGGAAAAATTTTCCTTCACTTCCTATCATAGAAACAAGCCATCCCCTTTATTCATGTTTTGTTTAAAAATTAAAATTTGCATAAACCCTTTAATTCCTGGTGACATTGGTGATCAGATCAATTAGAAAGACTAAATCTTCCGAACAGGGACACAGACAGCAATAGAAAAGAAAGAAAAATCTGACAGTGGTTCTAACCCCTTCCCATTCAATCTAAAAACAAGTTTTGAGTTTAGTAGCGTTTTAACTCTTTTTACGACTACAGACACCTCCAACATATTGCACAAAATGTTCCCAAACCTTCTTTCAAAATCATCACCACCACAGGTCTCGGTTACCAGTATGACTTTAAAATACTAATGAAATGCTTTTAAATTTACATATGGACAGAAAGGAAAAGAACAGCTGAAAGAAAGCCACAGATTTTATATTTACTTCTTTTAAAAATATCAAATCACATATACCCGAGCTTGCTACAACTAGTACATTTTGTGGTTTCCCTGCATATCAAAAAATAGAATTGAGGTACAATTTCTGACAATGCTACTTGCATGTTATTTGACACAAAAGTTGATTTCTCCACACTGTCAGTTCAACAACACAAAAATCCAGTTCGAATAATCTTTGCTAAACCATTCAGAGATTTAGTCCCATATCCTATCATTTGGTTTCCAAACCCACCAATGGTTAGGAACCCTGTTTTCAAACCCAAAAGCCAATTAGTCTCTATGAGCAGCACCATTCCTTAGGTTCTTTTTGAAAACAGACCTAGCAGCATTATAAATGTGAACTTCCTTAAAAAGTGACCCTGGTACCTCATATCAAAATAGAAAATTAACTTGCCTTCCACTGCTGCTCATACTTATTTTTTCCATGCTATTTCATGTTTGCTTTCACAGTGTGTCCAAAAAGAGAAAAAATAAATTACTGGTAGTTCTAGGTAGCACAAGATTCTCTCTCCTTCCCAGTGGCCATTGCCAGGCTTGAACACCATCACATGGGGGGTGTTGGTTTACCTTGTGCTTACATGTGACCTTTTTACTTGGCTGTGACAGTGCATTGAGGGGACAGTTAAGGTAGGGATCAGCAGAAAAGCAAAAATAGGATTTTGGTACTCACCGTAAAATCCTTTTCTCTCCGTTCATTGAAGGACACAGGGAACAGATCAGAGATCCTGTACTGTAGGGTAATATCGCCACCTGCAGGAGAAGGACGCTAGGCACAAAACTTTTAAGGGGTCAACCCACTGGAAAAAAATGGGGGTTTGGTAGGCCGAGTAACATACTCAAGTCTTGGGTCTCTACGGGACTTCAGTAGCAACATTTCCCTGCCATAATACCTGGCCCTGTTTCTGGAGATTTAGATGGTCTGGTCTACATTTTGGTGTTCACTCTTCCTTTTGCATTCCCAATAATATAACAAATGTAAACAAGATCCAACAGCAACAGAGAGACACCTTTGTGACGGCAACAGGAACATGGAAACCACGGACTGCCAGCCAGTTTAAAGCACAGTTAGTGTATTTAGTTCAATGGAAACGGTTTGGTTTTCTTTTGCGGTCTGTGTCCCTGTTGCAAACAATTTCTCTCACTTCCAAGACAGGATGTGAGAGAAACTTCTCCTACAGGAGCTTGCTTGTTCACAGTGAGTGATGACAGCTGCCACCTAACTTTTGAATTTTTCTTCAGTCTAGTCTTGGAGCTGGAAAAGTATCAGTACTTGTACCGAGTACTGTACTTGGTATCGGTGCATCCCTAGTTTAGATATTCTTTAAACTGCCTTACTAGGATGAATAGAGTTGGCTAGACTAGACAAAAGCTTCAAAGTTTCAATGTGAACTGCCTTTAGTGCAGTCAACAGGAGCAAAATGGTAGGCACTTGGACATTTGATCTCTGCTGATGGAAAGGATTTATTCAACTTTATTTCTAGTACTACTCTTCTAGAGAGATCCACCTTAAAGAATAATAGTATATAACAACATTTACATTGCAATCTGATGAGTAAAGACAAAATGGTGCTACATTTCAAAAAGGTATAAATATATGTAAAATATGAAGTGTCTTAACTTGTATAAACTATTGGGTGTGTATATCACCTACTTAGATCTCTTGCTTTAATTAAATTATTGCATTCGTTTGAAATCCGCTGTTTAAATCACAATCCACCCAGCACGCAGCAAAAGCTTTAGCACTTAATACATGTTTACCAATTCAATTATACTCTGTGAATCTTTCAGTAGTAGCAATTTTTCAATCTTCATTACTGCACAAATTTGTATGCAGTGTCTCATTCAGTGTTTACATTCCTTAAAAAACTGTAACTCACTTCCCTTTGATCTAGATTTTTACAGCCTGTTTCTGCAATAGAAAGCGTGTGGTTGTGGGCAGGCAAATGGTATGTTTGTGTCGGGAACCTGCCAATATTCAGAATAAATTCAAGCAATATACCTGGACAAATTCACGTAATACATATAAGGTAAACAATTGACAAAAATGCTAATTCGTTAGAATATATATTTCTAAAACAGTACTTAAAGAGCACTGTTACCCCTTTCACTAAAAATCACATCAGCATGCAGCTCTGCATGGAGACAGATTAAAGGATAACTATGGGGTCCAAGCTTATCTCCAATTTTGTATTCCTTAGGCCAAAAGGAGTAAATATTGTAATTTACTCCTATCAGCCAAAATGCACCCTAAGCCTGTAAAAACATCTTTAGGATGGTGGGTGGGGCTAAGCACCGCAATGAGGAGAGATCCCGACAATACTGTCGAGATCCTCCCCACTGATCTCATCAGTTTGACTGACGGCACTTCTGAAGAGCTGCTGCGCGTCCACGAATATATGGGCATGTGCAGCAGCTCTGTCCCGCAGGTCTCTCCCTACCTCCTTGTCCCCGTCCTCTGTGCCTGTCTTTCAGGCACACGCTGCTGTGGAGCCCTTTCTCTCTTATCTGCCTCCCAGTCTCCTTCCTCTGTCACCGTCTCCTCCATGTGGTGTACTCTCTCCGGCTCATCAGCACTCCCGCCACCCACACAGCTGTGCACGCTTTGAGACAGCGTGGCCACAGTAGATTTACATTTAGAAAAGCTGAGGGAGGGCTGCATTAACTGTTCACGTCCCTAACAGGAATCTATGATTTAAGATGAGTTTTTCTCAGATTTACTTCATCTTTGGAAATGATGAATACGACTAAAAAGGTAAGGGGTATGTTTATTTACCCTGGTGACTGGTTTATTTACTGTTGGACCATTATCGCCTACAAAAAAAAGTGATAATTGTCCCCAGAACAAGAGGTGAGGGAAAAATCTTCCAAAAGGGGGACAACTGCCTAAGAGGGGAATTCCTCAAACTTCCTGTTTCATCTTTGTGGCATGAAACACAAGGAATTTTCTCTCATGGCGCAGATAGCAAAAAGGTTACCCGACATGGGGTTTTAATTCTTACTTATGCCATCCAGAACAACTAAAAACATTTTTTGGCTATACATACTCTTTAAACTTTCCTTCATTTCTTGGTGTTTTTTTTATTTATTTACTTTGTGCTCTCTACCTGTCAGAGCAGCTGTGACACCCTGTAAGGCTGTGCTATTTCCTGACTGAGGTCCGTGCTAATAACTGTTCACAAACTACCATATGACCTCAGGAAAAGCTTTTACTATATGAAAATTTTAATTAGTTAAAAATGAAAAAAAAAAAAAAAGTTGGAACATTTTCTTTTTAAGTTTTGAATTGAGTGGGGAAGGGTTGGAAAAGATTTTTTTTAAATCAGTCTCTGCATCCCCATTGATAAGGTTTCTTCTCACTTCCTGTCCTGGGCTCTGGAGGATGTAAGGGGAAATCCTTACAAAAAAGGGACACAGGAACCTATAGAATTCTGAAAAATGCTGTGACTAAAAAAAATATAAACATTTTTTACTGCTCTTCCCCTTTTAGAGACATTTCCTTTCTTGATGACGAATATTATAGGAACACAAAGAAAGTCGAAGAAATCCCAATAGGAGCAAAGGCAACTATAAAAACCTGGCAGATGTTGTAACCCATTTCAATACAATTAAAAACAAAGTAAAGTAAAACACCTTTGCAGAGGTTTCAAACCATGAAACAAAACCGTTTTCTTTACAGAAGTGATCCAGCTGCGAAGAACTCTGCATACTGTTTTCCTTCTTTTGATCACACTTGTTGGCGAGAAGAATGGCAGGTATGGGTCCACCGCCTGGAAGATAAACTTTGCTATCCAAGTCAGATTTCCACTTCGTGATGGCTTCAAAAGTTGAAAATCTTGTAACATCAAACACCACAAAGGCACCCACAGCCTCTTTATAGTACACTCTGGTCATATTTCCAAACCGCTCTTGCCCTAAAAGAAAAAAAATGCAAAAGATTTTGATTGAAGAAAAATAAATTCAGATAAACTGCAAACAAAAAAAATGGTTAATACAATTTTAACAATACTTTTTTTTTTTTTTTAAATAATCCTCTGCACACCAGTTGAAATTTTAAGTCAAACCAAATGAGAAGGGAAGTATAAGCACAATTCCTGCACTCTATAAGTGCCAATTCACACTGGACGTTTAATAGCGCGATTTCTGTCGCGATATCGCACAAATTTGCTGCGCAATAATCGCAAGAAGTCGACGTCCAATGATTTTCAATGGAGCTGTTCTATTGAACAGCTCCATGTCACTCGTCGCTGTCGCTTGTGCCTTTTTCCCGGGGATGTTGCGCAATTTTTCTATTTTTGCATGCAGCCCGACTGTGAAGGTCACGCTATACCCGGCCGCGTGGATCCGCTCGAGGGAAGTGTCGCTTAGTGTGAATGGGGCCTTAGTGCTGAGCTTAGGTACAACACTTCAGGGATAAACAGCCATAAATCATGAAAAATGCCCGCAGAAACAAGGAACGGCTGCTTGCCCCAGGTTCGTAACATACAAAAGTAGTGAAACAAATATAAATCTCAGAACTAGAACCTTTCAAATTACGAGCTATAGTAGTTCCTTCATTATAAAAATATAAAATTGGATTACCGGAGACAGTCTGGGACTGGGCAGAAACACACAGGAGACAGAACTAACGACGCAAACTATGCACCCAGACGTTATCGTCCCCAGGGTCCAGCTCAATTCTTGCCATCTTACAGATGTTGAGAATGAGTTACTAGTCTATACTGCATTGGACAAAAAGAAGAGGAAGTGGCTTATTAGCTGGGGAGAAACTAACAAACCTCCTAACAAATTTTCTTTTAATTTCAGTTCCGCTTTAAGGTGGTGGTCAATTAATGTGGAGCCTGTAACCTTGAATGATCTATTTAAAGCCAAATAAACAGTTTTCTTTTTTTAATGAAATACTATATATCTATGAGGCAAAACTTGCACTAAAATTGTAGTTACACTTTAATTTCTCCCATTTTATGTCCATAATAAAACTGAAGAAAAATATAAAATGTTTTATCTGCTTCAGATTCCCAGACAAACCTTATATTTACACCCAAAATGCAGTGACGTTACACTTAACTATTTAAAGTATAGCTGAAGCCCAAACTATGCTTTAGTAAGTTTCAGATAAGAGTACGGAAGGCTTATTACCCCTGCCAGCTTTTTTTGCCACGTTTCCCCCATTGGGAAGATTTCCCTTCACTTCCTGTTCAATAGCCACAACACGAGTGAGAGGATATGTCTCCAAACAGAGGAAAATCCCTGGTAGTCATCAGGGTCACCATAACTATTTTCCCCATTGGAAGATGGTCCATCTATTCCTGCTCTGGCGACATCCCACAATTTGGGATTCTCTTTTACTTTTGGTGAATATGATCACAGAGTAACTATCTCGCAGGGCACACAGACAGCAATGATAACCTGACAGTGGTTCTAATCCATCTTCACTCATCAAAACCTTAAAAAAATGCACCTCGCTTCACGCACTACTCATGCACTAGCTTTTTGCATAATGCCGCAGCACACGGTATTGCGCGTTTTGGCGCAACCGAGTACATTGCGGGTGGTAAGTGCACTTGGTGTGCCATTCATATGAATGGCGACGCACACATCTCGCACTGTAACGCACGGTAGGTGCATTTAGCAGTATGGTACTTCACACAGAACCGTGCAATTGAAGCATCATACCATTATGAAGGGGCCTTATTCCTGCAGAATGGTTTCTGCATAAACCAGAATCAACAGATGATCCAGCCTTCCAGGCTTAGCACTTTCTAATCTTCTGAGGTTTTTCAGGGCACTTGCAGACTCCACCTCACTGCCTCTGCTTTAAAGCTGAAATCCAGCTTTAAAAATTGATATTTACTTACACTGGTCCAGCATGGCACAATGCAAGTATATATAAATGATCCCTGGAAGGGCCACGGGACCATGTAATACACCGTAGTAGCTGTAGCTACCACATGCCTAAAAGCATGTTTATAAAAGCGTTTTGCAAGCTTTGTGCAAACCTATTTGCATGTGCATCAAGCTTCAGGCATCTTTGTTTGGGGCAATGGAAATAAGTTCTAGATCAGACTAGTTCTTCAGGTGTGTAAATGCTTGTGTTGCGCATTTACAGCCTTTACCTTTGAAGTCTATTGGGCCAAAAACACATGACACAGTTTCAAAGAAATCAGACGTACCTTTTCAAGCTTCAAGTGACTGAGCATGCAGAGGTGAACAGCCACAACAGAAGGAATGGAATTCTGATGTTGACCGGAAAATGTACAAAAACTCGCCACAAAATGCTTAGGTGTGAATTGGGCTAAAGTTCATTACTACATGCATACTACATGTCATCCTGTTCTCCAAACAGGTGATAGTCCACAAGGCAGGCATAAAGTATAGGTACCTACAGCAGCTTTCATTGCCCATTCTATGTCTAAATGACAGGAAATTTTGACCCAGCCATTCCCAATACTCACATCATTGAGGAAAACAAATACTATCCTTTCCATTCACAGGGAATCGGTTTCAGAAGATGTATGATTTACTACATTTTCATATGTTAAATGTATATTTTATCATGCAAGTCAAAAAGTAGAAAATGTGCCCGACTGTGAAAGTCTTCAAAAAAGGAAAAAACACACACAGAGGGAACACAATGAAACAAAAAATTATAAATTTTCAAATCTACAATTTGTTTTCAGAATTATAATCTTAACTTCAAGTTTTGAAAATCATTTTTTTAAATCTCCAATTATTTTATGTTTTAAATGTGCAGATAAACCAGGAGAACAATGTTGCTTCCTTTTACTACAAATAATTAGAGCAGAAAACCTTTGCAGCTAAATTGCCAAACTTATTTTCTAAATGAATGCATTAGAAAAATATTTTAAAAATGTGTGCAGTTCTAGGCAATACTCAGAAGTTAAGCAGCAAGTTTTAATCCATTTAGTGCATGGCTTGGAAGGACTGATTACGAGGAGGTTAAGATGGGTCATTTGCTATGATAATCCTTTCACTGAACAAGAGTAAATTTACTTCTATAAAACCTAATTATATGCATTAAAATGTGAGGATAACATTTTTATATCCGAACTGTGGAACAAGGCTCTTTTGACAAAGTATACCTATAGTCTCCCCAAGAAAATGCTATAGTAGTAGATTGTCAAATTACTAGCTAGGGGTCCAACTGTAAATCATCATCAGATCAGTTGAAAAGCTTACTTTTTATTTTGAGTTCCATGCAGTGACATGCACGAGGCCATTGTTCAGTCCAACAATCCCCAGTCTGAGCCCCTGTATGGCACTTACCAGTCTCCCTTTGAAACTACCCGTCTCCTAATTCAGTGCTCACTTGCACCCATAGCAACAAAAGAAGAGTGAAGGCGGCATGGAGGAGCATGGAGCAAAAAAAAAGAGGAAGGAGGGATGGTGTAAAGATGATTTTTACTGTTAGCCCAGCCTCCTTCCAGTAGTTGATGCCATTCTAAGCAGAGAGAGATGTCCACAGGGAGAGAGGAACCCTATGCTGTAGGAAACCGCTTACTGTAGAACGTGTCGGTGCTTGTTGCACGGCACGTCCTTCCGGTCACCTCTCTCAGAAGTGAGCAATGCTGCATTAAGAAAAAACAAAATGTAAACCAAAATTAGGTGAGCAATTTTTTAAGCTGAAAATGTCGGTTTAATGGTTGGAATATGGGAAGAGAAACTAAAATTACACTATTAAACTGAATAATAATTTTTTACAAGAAAAAAACACAAAAGCTTGAGCCATGCTCTTCTAAAATTGACCACAGGTTGAAATTAGTGAGTGATAATATTAGTGAGCCCCCTTTACAGAGTGATCATTTAAATCTATGATTTCTTTTATAGGACAAAATAAATTCCTCAGCACCTTACAGAAAACACTGAACTATTCACATTAGTCGCCGCCCCCCCCTCCCCCCCCCACAAAAAAATTACAGGGTACTTCCTTTACAACTGACAAATAACACAAACAGCCAATTCGGGTGGAAGCTGGTTACACGTCCACTATGTTTTTGGATTGTGGGAAGAAACTAGAGCACTCAGAGAAACCTGTACACACAAGAAGAGAAGATATACATCTAAACTAATCTAGTAGTGAGAGTAACAAACTGTAAAAGATCAAATATAGTGTAAATAGTCATAAAACTTCACTAAATCAAGGATAATAATGATATTATAAGGCCTAACAGGTCATTTATACACTTGATTGGCATAATGCACAAATTTCCAACATAACTGTTAATCCTCCAACCAAAAATATTAAAAACCATTGCTTCCTCTTACCAGTGCCTGATAAACACACTCCAGATATTATAGTTTGTAACTCAATTATCTTTTTAAAGTTATAATCCTCTAAATCAAATTAATGCTATATATACTGCCGGTGGCAACAGGGGGGGAGAGAAAAAAAAATCCATTGATGGAAAAACCTGGGTATTCAGTATATTCAGGTAGGCAGCTGACCTCATTGTTTGGGACATACCATTGCTGAACTAGAGCTGTCCTAATAAAGCAACCCCAGATCATAACATTGCCCGAAATCCAGGTGGCAAATTTTTTTTTTTTTTTTTTAGCCTGGCAGTGTAAATGGTAAAGAATAGTTTCAACCAGTTACAGCGTGTGAAATATCAGAATCAGATAAAAAGGTGAGGCACTCACACTTAACAGACACGGTGTACCGGTTTCATGAGGTGTGAAAGGGCTTATGCAACATCATAAAGCCTGCATTGCTAATGTATTTATCAACTGTAAGTTCATAAGTTATAGTGGATAAACACATTATGATCACATAAAGACATTTATGATCACATTAACTCCGACAACATGAATGTACAGACAACAGATATATGTTCACTCACAGTTGGGGTTCATTCACACATTAAAAACTATGCGTACAGAGTCATACAGTGAA